GGGATTGTCCCCAATGAACTTGGGGAACGGTAAAGTCCAGTGTTCTCTCTGTAGTGCAAAAATGAAGACTACTTCCTTTCGCCAGCACTTGCGGTGTCACATCGACATTCGTTTGCACGAGTGTGGGATCTGTGGCCAGAACTTTGGCCGAAAGGGAGATGTCCAGAACCACATCAAGGTCGTCCATCACGGTCAAAGGCAGTATCCTTGTCCCCTCTGTGAGAAAGGATTTGGAGATAAGAAAAACTTCAACTTGCACATGGCACATCACGATAGGCGAAAGTTTTATGTGTGTGATGTTTGCGGATTTCGTTTCGGTAAACGTGAGTATTGGGAGAATCACGTGAAGTTTATTCATCCACCGGAAATGCTGGATCAGCCCCCAGATGTCATAGCAGATATGCTTGCAAAAGAGAGGGAGAAGGTGAAAGCCAGTCGACGCAAGGAAAATCCCTCACTGGTAAGTGAGAGTAGTGTGACAGAGATTGTGCTTGAGGAGGAAAATGTGCCTGTTCATGATGGCATCAAGGAAATAGTTGAATCAGAGGGCTTCACATCATGGAACAGTACATCTGGTGATCAAGAAAAGGGCACTCACACATCTAGTAATTTTGTGGTTGCTGAAGACGCGTCTCATGCATCTGCAGGAGGAGATCCATCGAGTAGCTTCCTTCTGGTGGAAAATGTGCCAGAAGATGGGATTTCAACCCAAACTAACTGCATATTTTTGGGGAACTTGGAAAGCGAAGTGACTGAGAGGAACCTCGAGGATGTGGATGGCAGCTACGTTGTAGTCCAAGACTCCACAGAAGTTCAAGAGATTAATGAAAACCCTAATGTGTCTTTCCCTTCAAACAATTTTGCCCTCATTCAAGGCAAGGGAGACGAGTACTACCTTGTAGACTTGGCAACAGCACAGGAATTTTTGGATGCATCTGCATCTCAAGATGAAGTGGTAGAAGCTTCCAATGAAGGCAATATTTGTCTCTCTTACCATTTGTGCGACACAGGTGATATGAACCAGATTGAAGCCGTTCATGAGCAGATACCTGAGAGTGCAGCTGATTTTAATGGTGACAGTCTTCAGCTGACCCAAAACTCAGATGTTCCAACTGATTCACTGCCTGTGGAGATTGTGAACCAAGTCTGCATTGGTGACAATGGTTGAAAGTTTTTTATACTACTTTGCATGCATTTCCAAATGTTACAAATGTTTTTGTGTCATTTTTTCAATAACATTGCTTGTTGGGACCTGCATCTTGGCCAGGTTGCAGTCTGACCAAGTCCTTTGAATATCATTTAATTAAATATTTAGTAATAGAATGTTCATTTATAATTTGGGAATTCCATGATAGATAAGTATTCCTCGTTATATAATGTTGAAATAATGGGAAAACTGCCGTGCAGTATCGTTTCGTCATGGAACTTTAAACCCTCATGATTCATCTTGCTCACAGGGAACTCTGCATATGAGATACTCTACCCATTGCAAATTTCCCTCATTGCCTTGAAGATTTAACTTTAGAAACAATAATACTTGGTAATGGTTCAGTATAAGCTATCATTGGATTCTTCACTGCTGTTTTCGTACCTCAAGCCATTTTCAGATTATATTTCAACGTTACATGACTGTCATATTCAGATTAAACCCTGGTTAATTCGGTCTCTGTGCTATTGAAAGAACAGCCAGCTGAAAATAGAGTTTATAAACTGGCAATTCAGGGCCATGATTGAATTGAATTAGTTCGAGCCAGCGCCTCCCATCCCGGCGCTCGCTCTGGGAAAATCTGCTATGAGACATCGCTGCCAGTAGCGCAGCACTGGCGCGCATCGTTCCGAAACGGCGGAGATGATGCACCACGTAGTCAACGACTCTTCCATGAAGCTTCCATTTGGGAGGCTGTGGGCCATTTCGATCGCTTACGGGCGTCGTGCTGCTGCAGACCACCGATGTGGCCGGAGCAATAGCCCACCATGCGAGTAAAACAAGCCCCAATTGACGTCGCGCACTGTTGATGACCGCCCTCTAACACGACTGGATGACGGACCCAACATCCTCCAGGCAGCTGGCTCTGAGGCCATTGCATGGTTTAGGGGGCATGTCCTGGTCCAATCCGGCCCTCCGTCGCGGCCAGGGATCGTGGATCGTTCGTTGCAGACACGAAGTCGCATGCTTCTTTGGTCAATGTGCAGTTCGTCGCGCACACCGCTCGCCTCGAAGGCATTGTAGGGGCTGGGATGATATGAAGATGCCTCGACCCAAGCAAGGCACTCGGGGACTCCCCGGATGAACGTTCTTAAATGTACATGTCGTCAATCGCAGCAGTAATTAATAGTGAAGTCAGAAATTAGCATCGTGAGCCACTATTTTGCGTGTGCCACACCCTCTTATCCTTACAGCTTTGCAGCTCACATCGTTCTGCTATTCCATTGTCACTTTTGTCTCTCGAGAATGAAGTGACCCTTTCCAGTGCTCTTTTATATCCCTGTAGATATTTTGACGCATTCCAAATTCATACACATAAAAACTCAAATGTTCACATTAACGGTGAGGCTAAAAAAAAAAGTGAATTAACTTCAGAGACCCATTTCCTCCCTTCCCTTTCCAGACTGCTGATAATCAGAAACCCCGGTACCCTATTCCTCGTCTCTTTTTCATCTTGCTTTTATCTCGGCAAGCAATCATCTCGCCTTGCATGTGCGACGATCTGCGTCTACTACGAAATAGTGCAACGATGAAACGGGCTTGTGACGTACTGTTCATGACCATTTTGGCCTTGACGGAACGGTCACGCCTGGCCCCACCCTACCTTACTTCTTTCAAATTAACATTCCATGAATAATCAGCTTGCTGCTCGTCCCGGCGAAGAGGATTCTCTCCGTCGTTCCAAGAGAAGTTATACTAAATTTGCCCTTCTGCTTTTCTTTCGAACTCAAGCTCAAAAGGGCTCAAAATCTGCAAGAAGCGTGTACGAGGTTGAAATGAGGTCATTTCAACATTTACGACCTGAGAGTGTCGTAAAATAGTTCAAACTCATCGCTGAATTTCTCCGCATCGATCCAAATTCTTGTCCTGTTCAATTCTAAATGGGAGGGAAAGGAGAGAGGGAGATGTAAGTGTGAAAAAATTAACGTAAATGGGCAAAGATTTTGGAAATTGACTCGAGATAATAAGAATCTTCTTTTCACTGGAGTAGGCAGCAAATTCAACTTGGCGATGTCCTTAAGTTGCCCATGTATCACTCAATTCATAGGTAGTTGTTATTTCCATGTTACGGAAGAAAATATGCAGCGAGTCAGGTTTGCTATTCTTCCGAAAATTGCGGTTTCGTGACAATGAAATACTGAGATGAATCTGCGCGGAGATGAATAATTTCCCATGCGTGGAAACCGAAATGTGAATCCAATGATGAATCCAACGATGGCTCGATTGGCTTGACCGAGGCAGGTCCGCCATACCAAATGCCAGAGGGTTAAACTCGGCTTCCCTGGGGAAGTGAACTATGCCCTCGACTTTAAACCTCTGAAGGTAAAGCGCTCTAAAGAGAGGAGAGTGCAATTATCAGTCGTGAACCATGAAAGGAGATGCAAGGTAACTCGCGTCACGGGATATGTAAAAAGAAAAAGGTGTGAATTAAAACCGTGACTGTTCCTTATGTGGGACGCAGCACAAATGAGTAGATGTTCCGCAACCGAAGATGCAGCTGGCATGACGAGACGGCGCTCGTTTGGAAGACAGCTCCGTAGAGGCTGTGCCGTTGCTCCAGCTGTTGACGGCAAACGTGGATTGCCTGTGCTTGTGCGTCCGGAAACAAAGGCAAGGAATGAAATGTTGTTCCTTGGGAGCTCTGCTGTCGATTGGAGCGCTTCTAAGCGGCCGGTTTAGAGTTTGAGAGATGCCACGGAATAGAGTAAGCAGATCTGCACTCACTGAACCATGCGCTGGGTGTTTCCACCACATTCTGAAAGACATGCAAGGAGTGGTCAGGAAGTTTCAGGACTGGTTCTTTGACGTCTTTATTCCTTGCTTTGCAGATCTCAATGACGGTGGGAATTTGTATTAGGTCTTGGAAAAGTACATGGCCTGATAATTGGTTTTATTTCAAATATTTCGGATCTTTTCTTGAGTCGGCTCTTTGATCCTTAGGCCGAAAATGAGTGAAGCATCCGATAGAACGATAGTGGAAGCTCAGAGATCGATTATTTTTGTGCGATATAGGGGAAATGGAGTAAGGAAACTTAGTGTGCCGTTCCTGCGCATGAAGCTGATGCTCCATGCAACTTTTAGAAATTCCATTGTAACAAACGCTTTAAAAAAAAGCAAGTCATCAGGGTGAACTCGAGGTCAGCTCGGCCGACAGTCGCTCATCAAGGGCAATGGAGGAGAGGAGCACAAACGTAAGTGATCCTTATGGGAAAAAGCCCTGTTTTTTGCGTGTTCTCTGTGAACCTTGATGTCTCATATGGATGTTGAGGCTATATTTGCCAGTTTGGTCTCATCAACTGATAAAGATTGAAACATTCTGGTCTCCCCTGACGAAGTTTTCTTTACATAGTGGTCAGGCAACATTGTTTTAGCTATCGTCGGACAACTGAAGTACGAGACAGGTACAGACAGGACGAGACTATAAGTGGTCACTTTTCATTCGTTAAACGAGGCTCGCTTCAAAGAAAATTTGAAGACATAATCGCATCATTTTTATTATAAAAAGCATTTAGTCATTCATAACTTACGTACAGGACCTGTAGAGAGTATCTACAGGCCTGACTAGATTTCTAGGGCTGTTTGTTAGCCATCCTATGTCATAGGCAACGACATATGACATGGAAGTCATTCATCCTTCATTCTCACTCCACATGTTGCATATAGCATATGTTAGAAAGTTCTCTTTCACTCCGCCGAGAATATCACAACTCATTCAGAACGATTTTCAAGAAGTCATGGAAAACTATAAAAGGAAACATAAAGGCACGATTATTTCAGATCACATATTCGTGGATCAATTGGAGGGAACGGGTAGATAGAATTTGTGACCGCGCCTGTCATCGTGAGCGTAGGAGTAGGGCGACTTCTCCGTACCGAGTAAGGTCGCGGGGCACGGCTTGTAGATGTACTCTTCCTTGTAGGAGGAAGAGGTTTGGAATCCCTCGCTCGATGGGAGGATGTTCGAGGAAGTCGCATGAGTGTATTTCACCGGACGCACTCTCTCCGTCGTTCGGAATTTCCCGTAGCTGCGGGATTCCGATTCGCCTTCGAAGCGGGAGCTGGACGAGACGATGTTGTAGCTGCTGCTCTGTTGCGAGGAGGACTGTTGGGCGTGGGAAGACCATTTTTGATAACCGACCGACTTGACGCCGGAAGTGAGCGAGGTGTCCTGGGCCCTAAGCAGGCTGCTGTCCTCCGTCCCTTGCGAGGAGGCGACGCTTCGAACCTCCTGTCTGAGAGATGCTGCACTACCGTAGTCCTTCGCCAGGTCTTCCTTGCTGCTCACGGCGAACTCGAACTGTCCGCTTTGCTTGAGGGCCGTTTCAGGCCGCTGCCACTTCTTGCGCTCCGTCTTGCGTCCGACGTACTCCGCCTGGCTCGTCGCCTCGTACTCGGACTTGTGGATGGACGTCGTCTCTTCCTCTCTTCTGGTTGCCGATGTGATCCGCGTCTGCTGGCGTTTCCCGACCTCGCTCTCTCGCTTCAGCACCTGCTTTTCGGTGGCTTCTTGTTTCGGAACCGCTTGGAGACTGGTGACCGTCTTGCGGAAATCTATGCTCCCTTCCATCTTGAGGTTGTCTGCGTGGCGCTGGATCTGAGCTCGTTCTCCCCTGGGGGCTTCCGCTCTCTCCGGGAACTCCATCTTCCCCTCCATCTTCAAGTTGTCATCGTGTCTTTTGATTTGAGGTCGTTCGGCTCTCGTCGGAGACGGTGCACCCTTGGAGAAATCCATTTCGCCTTCCAACTTCAGGTTGTCGGGATGTCTTTTGGGCTGGGGACGTTCACCCGCAGGTAATGCCCCGGATCGAGGGAAATCCATGACGCCTTCCATCTTCAGGTTATCCTCTTGCCTCTTGGCCATGCTTCGGGCTCCAGCTTTGGCGCTGAAGGCTTGCTGGGTGCTGGTCTGAAATTCCTGCGAACCCTCAATCTTCAGATTGTCGGAATAAGTCTTGACTTGAGATCGTTGCGTCTGCTGACCCTGGAAGGCTTCCTTCGATGTCGTCGTCGATTCCATCGCCCCACTCTGAACTTCGGTCGTTTTCAGGCGTTTTGGAAGCTCTCGCTTCTCGATCTCCTTTACGCTGTATTCCTCGGAGGATCGGTGAAAGTCCATTTCACCAGACATCCGCAGATTCTCTCCGTGTCTCTTTATCGGGGTCCTCTGCTCTAGAGTGTGAGCCTTGTATTCCTCGTGCTGTCGGGACGAAACTGCCATTTCTCCCTCCAGTTTCAGGCTGTCCACGTGCTTGCGTACCTCAACTCTGTCCCCTCTTCCTTGTTTATAGTCTTCTCTAGTCTTCTGATATGTCTCCATTTTGCCCTCCACTTTCAAATTGTCCTGCGGCTTTATCACCGATGGTCTGTCTGGTGAAGAAACTCGGAAGTCCTCGGCTATCCTGTTGTAGACCTCGATGCCTCCTGCCGGTTTCAGGTTGTCTGGGTATCGCTTGACGGGCGGCGTCTTGGCAGTCAGAGGGAAAGTGCCTCCCTTCTGTGGGAACTCCATCTGGCCCTCGGGATGAAGGTTGTCAGGATGTTTCTTTACCTTCGGCGGCTTCACGGGGGTGAAGCCCGTCTTCTCTGGGAAGTCCATCTTCCCCTCCATTTTCAGATTGTCCGGATGTCGTTTCATGGGTGCTCGGGAACCCGGGCGGAGAGACTCCTTCTTTGGGAATTCCATTTCACCTTCTATTTGCAGATTATCGGGATGCTTCTTGACAGGAGCCTTGGCGCCTGGAGCATACTTTCCCTTTTCGGGGAAGGTCATCTCACCTTCTGGGTAAAGATTATCCGGATGCTTTTTGATTGGCGCTCGTCCACCTGGGGAATATTTGTCTTTTTCTGGGAAGGTCATTTCACCTTCTGGGTGAAGATTGTCCGGGTATTTCTTAATTGGAGCTCGCCCACCAGGGGAATATTTGTCCTTTTCAGGAAACGTCATCTCACCCTCTGGGTAAAGATTATCCGGATGCTTTTTGATTGGCGCTCGTCCACCTGGGGAATATCTGTCTTTTTCTGGGAAGGTCATCTCACCTTCTGGGTGAAGATTGTCCGGATATTTCTTAATTGGAGCTCGTCCGCCTGGAGAATATTTGTCCTTTTGTGGGAAGGTCATCTCTCCCTCTGGGTGAAGATTGTCGGGATGCTTTTTGATTTGGGGTCGTCCGCCTGGAGAATATTTGTCTTTTTCTGGGAAGGTCATCTCACCTTCTGGGTGAAGATTGTCTGGGTATTTCTTAATTGGAGCTCGCCCACCAGGGGAATATTTGTCCTTTTCAGGAAAAGTCATCTCACCCTCTGGGTAAAGATTGTCTGGATGCTTTTTGATTGGGGCTCGCCCACCTGGGGAGTATTTGTTTCTTTCTGGGAATGTCATATCTCCCTCTGGATGAAGATTGTCCGGGTGTTTCTTGATCGGAGACCGCTTTCCAGGTGTAAATTTCTCTTTCTCGGGAAATGTCATTTCTCCCTCCGGTTTTAGGTTGTCCGGATGTCTCTTCACTGGAGCTCGATCTCCTGGCTGATATCTCTGCTCTTCTGGGAATTCCATCGGTCCCTCCAATTTAAGATTGTCAGGGTGCACAGCTGCCTGGGGACGTTCGGCGATCCCGGGTCCTCCTTTTTCGGGATATTCAACTTTCCCTTCCAATCTCAAGTGGTCGGGATGCTTGACGACCTCAGCTCTGACGCCTGGCGCGTAACCGGGCTTCTGCGGGAACTCCATCTGCCCCTCTGTCCTCAGATTATCCGGCTGTCTCTTGGGAGGCAACCTTTCGGCAGGCACATAAGCCTGCTTCTCGGGGAACTCCATTTCGCCCCCGGGTCGCAGGTTATCGGAATGTTTCACTACCTCTGGACGTTCTACTTTGGAAGGGAAGGGAACACGAGGAGGACCGAAATCGATTTGACCCTCAAGCGACAAGTTGTCTGCCGCTTTCTTTACCTGAGTCCTTTCTGGCAGCGCGGGAGCAGGTGACTTTTCGGGGAATTCCATCTCCCCACTCGGTCGCAAATTGTCGTCCCTGATCACTAGTTGTCCTCGTTCGCTTTTCGCGATTTTGAATTCTTCCAAACTCTTGTGATAATCCTGGAATTCTCCCTCCATTCTCAGGTGGTCTTCCCTTTTAACCACTGCCGCCCTTTCTCCCCGACTCCCTCGGAATTCTTCCTGAGTCCTTCTGTACTCCGAGAATTCCCCCTCCAATTTCAGGTGGTCTTCATGCTTCGTCACTTCAGATTTTCTGAGCTCGTGTTGAGCATAATCTTCCTGCACTTTTCGATACTCTTCGATGGACCCCTCGAGATGTAGGTTATCCTGCGGTCTTTTCACCACAGCTCTGTCTCCATAGAGTGGGGCCTGCGCTTGTTCGGGGAAGCTCATCGTGCCGGTCGAGCGGAGATTATCGACGTGTTTCTTTGGCACTTCTCGAGGTGATGGTTTTGGTACTTCCTCTGGCTTTTTGAAATCAATAGATCCTTCCAGCTTCAAGTTGTCAGGATGACGTTTTATGTCAGCTCTTTCGGCTGGCCGAGGAAGGGGTTTCGTTGGGTATTCCACGTCACCTTCCATCCTGAGGTTATCTGGGTGGACTTTCACCTCGGGTCTTTTCGCAGGAACGTACGGAGTGGCTTTTGGGAACTCCATTTCGCCCTCAGGTCTTAGATTGTCTGGATGTCGCTTCACCTCCGGCCTTTCCCCAGCGAGAACGGGGTGCTTTGTGGGATAGTCCACATTTCCTTCCATCTTCAAGTTGTCTTGATGCATTCGCGCTTCGGGTCTCTGACCTGCTACGTAAGGAGCAGCTTTAGGGAATTCCATCACGCCTTCCATTTTCAGGTTATCAGGGTGGCGTTGCTGCACGATGCGTTCGGCTGGGACGAATCCTTCTTTTTTAGGGAATTCCATATCTCCCTCTGGACGAAGGTTGTCCGGGTGGCGACTGACGGGAAGACGTTCGCCTGGGTGATAGGGCTGGCCTGTTGGAAATTCCATCTCTCCTGAAGTAAGGAAGAGAGGGAGAGAGAGAAAAAAAGTTATTAGTCAGACATAAATGGAACGCTTCATAAGGAAGGTCGACCGTAAGTGCCATGTACATCTTCGTTGGTTTTAAGAGGTTTGAAGGTTACCTGACGCATCTAGCCGATAAAATGCAATGTCCATAATTCACTAATGAGCTTTCACGTGATCAGACTTCTGATTTAGACTCATGTGAGCTCGTAGAACAAACACTGATGAGAACAGACTTTTGTCCGTTCTCATCTGTGGAAAGCAGCGTTTTGGAAATCACCCATATTCTTCGTGATTCATAAACCTCCCATAAACTACACCTCTTCACGTTTACTATAATAAATGAAATATATGTGCAAATGAGGAAAGAAAAACAGGTGACACATTCGACGGAAACTATCGATGACCGATAATCGTCGTCAATTTTAGCTTAATGAAAAAACGGAAGCATGCAAATTATGCATATTAAGTTTTCCTTACCGTAGCTTGATAAATTTGCGTGAAATTTCAATGCCGTCTGGGGAACTTATCAGTCTATGCTCACTGCAAGTTTCGAGAGAACGGCTCCAATGAGTGTAGAGTTACAAAAGCTATATGTCGGGGAGGGGGGGTTGACAACACCCTATATATCTCAGAAGTCATGCTTTTAAAATATAGGGTGACAAGAACATGCCATCGGTGGCAGCGGAAATGCAGATTCATATATTTTTTAAATCCGGATTTATATCCGGATTTATATCCGGATGAAAATCGTCTTAGCTAGAAAATCTTTCCCAATGAACTCAATGTTGCTGAACTCAGTGCTGAACTCAATACCGTACCTGTATGTAAATAGCACTCATGGAATCAAGGCTGTCACATACAACCTCGCAATGACCACACTCATCATAATATTAAAAAGTGAGCGGTAAATCCAGTTTCTCTCTCTCTATTACACCTTCCAGTGTAAAAGAATTGGAAAACTGGAGTCAGCATTCACTGTTTTTGTAAGATTGTAGGGTAAGAGCTTGAAGTATTCGAAAGAAGCTCATTTGCTTTAGAGGGTCGCCCTTCTTTCCTTTTGCTATAAATGAATGCTTTCCTTTACTTTGTGTTGAGCCGCTGTTCCCGTGGTAGTGTGTGCCTGTCGTAGTGCATGCCTACAAACATTTAGCATTCCTCTTATATAATTTAGTAATTTAGAAGGGCTGAATACTAAGCAAAAATATTCTGAAGAAAAATATAAAAGGGTGCATCTCCGGCAATCACTCACCTTCAAGCTTCAGCTGTTCAGGATGCTTCTTGATCGGCATTCGCTCTCCTGGCCGATACTCCTGCTTTTCCGGGAATTCCATTTTCCCCTCCATCTTCAGGGTCTCCTTCGGGACTTGGGCCTTAGGACGCTCTCCGCTCACGTACTCCGGCTTCTTCGGGAACTCCATCTCCCCTTCAGGCTTTAGGTTGTCGGTGCGGACGATCGGTCTTTCCGGCTTTCCAGGGATGTAAGGAAGTTGTTCTGGGAATTCCATCTTCCCCTCAGGTTTCAGGTGATCCCCGTGGATCCGCACTTCCTGACGTTCTGCCACGTAGGCCCGATAGTCGTCTTTGTTCTTCTGATAATCCTCGAACTTCCCAGAAATTTTCAGATTGTCCTCGGTCCTTCGTACTTGAGCTCTCTCACCCGACACAGCTTGGTAGTCCTCCACGGTCTTCTTATAGGCCTGGAATTCACCCTCCATCTTTAAGTTGTCTTCATGCTTTTTAGTTTCCAATCTCTCGACTCTGGAGGCCTGGAAGTCCTCCCTGGTTTTGTGATAGTCGGTGAAGTCACCCTCCAACTTCAGATTGTCTGCGTGCTTAACGATAGCCATCCTCTCACCAGGCTTGTAATCTTTGGGCGCGGGGAATTCCATTTGACCCTCCGGAATCAGATTGTCCAAATGTCTGGTCTGAATTGGCCGACTCGCTAAGGCCGGAGCTGGCATGGGCGACTTGAATTCGATATGACCCTCTGGTTTGAGATTATCTGCGTGATGGACCATTTTTGCTCTTTTCCCCGGTCGGTATTCGTCTGGGAGAGGAAACTCCATCTTTCCCTCGGGATGAAGATTGTCAGGATGCCTCCTGACAGGATGCCTATCTCCAGGCTGATAAGCTACCTGTTCTGGGAATTCCATTTTCCCACCCAAATGCAGATTGTCAGGATGTCTGACTATCTGTGACTTATCAGGTCTCTGATACGTCTGCCGCTCGGGAAAACTCATTTCACCTTCAGGTTTCAGGTTATCAGGGTGTCTCTTTACCATCGCTCTTTCGCCTACTGGAGCTGGTTCTGGGGTGGGAAAATCCATCTTCCCGCCAATGTGCAAGTTGTCCATTCTCTTAACGGTATGCACCTTTTCTGCGGACAAACCAGAAAAGTCTTCCTTCACCTTTTCGTGCATCTGGAGATCTCCCTCTATTTTCAAGGATCCTTCATGCCGTACAATTTCAGCTCGTTCCCCCTTGACCATTTTGTAGTCTTCCTGCGATCTGTGATAGTCATCGAAGGTCCCCTCCATTTTTAAGGTTTCTCTCAGTTTCTTAACGTCAGCTTTTTTCAATTCATGTTTTGAGTACTCCTCAACGGACTTCTGATAAATTTCCATATTACCTTGCATTTGAAGGTTATCTTCATGACGTACGACCACTGCTCTCTCACCTCGTGAAGCCGCCTGTTTCTCAGGGAATTCCATGAGCCCCTCAGGCTTCAGATTGTCTGGATACCTCTTCTTCTCAGGACGGGGAGCAGGCACATATACTTCCTTCCCAGGAAACTCCATCACTCCTTCAGGTCTTAGATTGTCAGGATGCTTGTGCACTTCGGGACGAGCAGCAGGTACGTAGCCCTCCTTTTGGGGGAATGCCATTTGTCCTTCTGATTTCAAGTTGTCTGGATGCCTTGTTACTTGTACCCTTTCTCCAGGCACATATGGTTGCTGCCCAGGAAACTCCATCACTCCTTCAGGCCTTAAATTATCAGGATGCTTGTGCACTTCCTGACGAGCAGCAGGTACAAACCCTTCCTTTTGGGGAAATGCCATTTGTCCTTCTGTCTTCAAGTTGTCTGGATGTTTCTTTACTGGAGCCCTTTCTCCAGGCATGTATGACTTTTGTCCGGGAAACTCCATGATCCCTTCAGGCTTTAGATTATCTGGATGCCTGTGCACTTCAGGACGAATAGCAGGAACATATGGTGCTTTGTCAGGGAATTCAATTTCCCCTTCTGATTTGAGATTGTCATGTCGTTTTTTGGGAACTGCTCTCTCTCCAGGAAGATACTGTACTTGTCCAGGGAATTCCATTTTTCCCTCTGACTTGAGGTTATCCAGATGTTTTGTCACCTCTTGCTTTTTCAGTGGATGCTGCTGAAATTCTGTTTGGGTTTTCCTATATCCTTCGAAGTGTCCTTCCTGTTTCAAGTTGTCCTGATACTTTCTCACCTCAGTTCTTTGAATTTCATGCTGACGGTATTCTTCAGTGTTCCGTCGATAGGAATCCATTTGCCCTGTTTGTTTCAAGTGATCCTCGAAGTGGACCATTTTTGTCCTTTGTGTTGGACTGTATTGATAGTCATCCATTTTTGTAGTTCTTCCGTAGAAAGTGTGATCTTCTTGATGGATATTGGATCCAATCCGCCGTACAGGGGCACTTCTCATTGCTTGTTTCCTCGTGAAGGCTTGTCCCGCTGTCGTCTCGAGGTTCATCTCCCCAATGATCTTTAAGTTGTCATCGTATGTCTTTTTGGAGGGACGCGTTGGTGGGTATTCGTGATGGACTTCTCGCGACCTTCGATACATATCCATGGATCCTTCCAGGTGAATGTTGTCAGCTCGTTTGACTAAAGGCTGTCTCACGACCCTGAATGGTTGAAAGTCATTCAGTCTTTGTGGGACGTATTCCCCTTCCAGCTTCAGGTTGTCTGAGTGTTTCACCATTTTTGCTCTATCACCCCTGAATTCTCTGTAAGCATCTCTCGCTGCCGATTGTCCCTCAAATCGGTCTTGGTTCACACGGAGGTTGTCCTCATGCTTCCTGATTGTGGCCCTCTCCAGTGTGTACTCTCGATACTCATCTTTGCTTCTCCGATAATCCTCAAACTTTCCTTCACCAATATAGAGATTTTCCGCACTTCTGGGGCGAGATAGGCGAGCCTGAGGAGCGTATGCTTGGAATTCGTCTTTGCTGCGACGATAGATGAGGATATCTCCCTCAGGCTTCAAGTGATCAGGATACTTCTTCACAGACAACCTCTCTGCTGGGATGAATACTGGTTTCGTAGGGAACACCATAGCACCTTCCAGTCTCAGATTGTCTGGCAGCTTCCTGACCTGTTCGGAGTCAATTTTGAACGTAAGCGAAAATTGAGTACAAATTAAGTGCAAATAATAATACACTATTCCAAGAAAAAACTGGGCGCTCTCCCCGAGCTGGAGTGGATTTTACCCTCTCTTTCCTCTTTCATTGCTCGAAATTCCGAGCTCCGATCGTGACAAATTCCTTGTGGTCGGAAGGTCTCTTATTCCCCCTTGGTTAAGTATATAATACAAGACGACTCCTATACTCGTAGAAGTTTCGATGGGGCGAATGAAGAAAGATGGAAAGGATCGTCCTGTCAACATCTCTCTTCCGCTCACTTTTTTTTTGGAATGGGGTATTGTTGAAAAATTATTGGATATACAAAATTTCTGCCGAAAAAACTGTGGGAAGACTTTACGCCGACACTTACGGGAGCGCGTTCACCGGGAGACCAAGAAGGCTTTTCTGGGAAGTAATGAACACCCTCAAGCTGAAGATGATCCAGGTGTTTCATGGGCGGTACTCTAAGACCTGGCACGTATGGCGCCTTTTGTGGAAATCGCATCTCTCCCTGTGGCATCAGGTGGTCTGAGTACTTCCTGATGGGCATCCTTTCACCGGGAGCCCACTGAGGCTTTTCTGGGAACATGATGGAGCCTTCCGATCGCAGATGATCGGGATGACGAACCACGGGTGCTCGCGTTCCTGGTGCGTACTGTGGCTTTGGAGGGAATTCCATATTTCCCTCTGGATAAAGATGGTCTGGGTGCTTCTTGATGGCTGCCCTTTCACCAGGAGACCAACCGCCCTTTGAAGGGAATTCCATGGTGCCCTCAGGCTTCAAGTGATCTGGGTGTTTCACAGCAGGCGCTCTTTCCCCGGGCGCGTACCTAATGAAAACGAAAACGATGAAATCGAATCTGTCGACAGCGTAGATCCGTAATAAGCCGATGGGGAGCTGTACTTCAGAAGATGGCCTTCAAATCTGGAATGGGCCGAGTATGAGATTTAAAATGTGATATGACTTATTAATTCACTGGCTATCTTTGTTGCTCGAAATTAAATGAAGTGAGATTGTTTTACTCCCGGTCTCTAACCTACCCGACTGCATTGGTTCCGCATTACTTAATGCTTTCCGTTCTGCTTTCTACCTCTGATGTCGATCTCAATTTACGGGAAAATTATACAAAGCTTTCAGTTCATAACTACCACATTATTTTCGCAATGACTCAACCTAAAAGAGCACCATCACATGTGAATGCAATTCTTTATCGAACAATTTTACCACTAAAAGCAAACCTTCTATTGAATACCTGATACCTGTAATGGGAAGGAGAGGAACTAAGCGGAACATGAGTATTTCTCGTCTTATTTCTATTTCTTATTGCTACGCTTTTCTTGTCTTCGACCGAATTCGGAAGGCAGATATGCTCGAAATTCGCAGGAATGACGAAAAAGGCTTTATCATTTGCAATGTGATTGACAATGACAGCTGAATAATATTAAATCGAGGCCTTACTTCGAAACCTGCTGCCTCACGAGTTCAAAAATGATCATCAAGATGACTGGCATTACGAACCTCCGAGCATAACGAGGTATAGCTGTTACAGTAGGATTACTGATGCCTATTTGTGTTCAGCACAATGAAACAATTTCGTTAGTGCATCTTTTAATAATCCGAATACATATAATCGTAAGGCATATTCTGCACAAAACTTTCCGAAATTATAAGTCTATCACGCCTACACAGTAAAAATAAAATTCCAGCAGAAACACCTGAAGGCACAAAAAATACTCAAGAGCGCTTTTTGCGTTGGTTGTGTGTTCTTAGGTGCTCCTGGAACCCAAAATTGTTTACAGTGTAGGAAGTGCTAGCTGACTATTGAAATGCCTTTGATTGAGACAATCAGTGAAATAATAATGGCTCACCTCATTCGTCAGCTGAAGAACTTCATGAAACAACAGCATATTTAATGGAATCAAGGGAAGCCCCATATACGCGCACAAGAACATGGATCTCCTTACCCTGGCTTTTGAGGGAATTCCATCCCTCCCTCGGGATACAGGTGATCGGGATGTCTCTTGACAGCAGCCCGTTCCCCAGGGACCCAGCCTTCCTTCGCAGGGAATTGGATATCTCCCTCAGGCTTCAGGTGATCCGGGTGTTTCACCATGGGTGCCCTCTCTCCTGGAGAATACCTATTGCAAGCAAAACACAACCATGACTTGGGAAGAAACCCAGTCTCGTTAATATTGAAACTCAGTTTCTTGTCAAATTTTACATGTGGTCTACACTTCTCAGTCGAGTACAGTGTTGTGCAAATGAATTCGTACTACCTTTAATATGGGCCCATGCTTTTCTATGAGGAATCCATCCAACCTGAACGGTGGCGCTTTCGTCGTGGCGTCTTGGCGACATCCAAAGTATGTGGAGTGAATTATAATGGATTGGAGAACGTTGAGGCCAAGAATAAAGTATGCAGCGAATGGTTTTTTTGTAAATTGTGAATGGTTTTTGCGAGGAAAATGATGGATTGGAACGATAAAGGGTTCACAAGAGGGTCCAGGAAGACGTGGAATGAGAAATCGCACAAGGGAAACTTCAAGAGAAACGATGAAGTATTCGTAGTAGGAAGCATACAGAAGTCGAATAAAAGGAAGAATAGAGAAGGAACAATGTTTCAGACTGTAGGTCTCGTATTCCATCGTACCTACAGATCGTTAGGCATTTTGCTAATATAAAAAGCAAATCACGGATGTCGACGGCCATGTTCATCTTCAAATACACAGCCCAACATAGATTTGAAGTACGTCGAGTATTTATCATCCAAGGCTCAGGAAATCAGAGTGCATGACTGCCCGACCCGACTTGTTAATCCTTTCATACGGGCCACGCGACGTCATCTTTACTGCAGGGCAGCTCCCAAGAGACTGGCCGATTGATGCGATGTGGCACTATGAAGCGGGAGGGAGACACCTATCCTCCGGAATGGAAACAATACTTGGAACTCCTCTGCCTGTTCCATTCGATGCTTCATTGAGTTACTATGCTCAATGTTAAAGGCGTTACGAATTCATTAGGAAAAAATTGTACAAACTACGAATTATATAGAGTTTTGAAGCAACAAAGCACGAATAACTCTTTAAATTCTGACTTCATTACGAGTGTGGGCAGAATTATAGGTGGAAGCAGATTTTCTGAGGAACAGAATGAAGATACCCAGGTTTGAGGGGAAATTCCATTCTCCCTTCGGGATAAAGGTGATCAGGATGCTTCTTGACAGGTTCTCTTTCTCCAGGAGACCAACCTGCCTTTGCAGGGAACTGAATAACTCCCTCTGGCCTTAGATGATCAGGGTGCCTCACCACTGGTGCCCTCTCCCCAGGCGCATACCTATGTCAGATACATACATATAAAATCGGCCATTTGTAAGCCTGACGAATAATTTAGTATTCTATTGCTTAAATACACGTCACCGACATTTCTCTCCGAATCTACTGCTCCTGGAATAACGTCGTTACTTCATCTTCATACACATGGGGTTAAATAAAAATTACGAGATGTCAGACAGGTGCACCGGTGAGTTCAAATCCAGTGTTGCCATCAATATTGAGTGCTAGAGTAAGCTAAGTATTTACTCAATTCTTTAAAAATTAGGTGCTGATTGAGAAGGCCCCCTAAGACCGGGTACTCCGGCGGCAATCGATAGTGTTACATAAATCATGGGATCCATTGGCATTGGATCCGAAGGCACGCATATCTCATTCTGCTTTCGTGCGGAATTTTGTCTGCGCTGGCTGCCGTCCTACTCAAGTCGAATGTCGTGAATTGGAATAGATTTCGATTGGAATCATTCCTTTGAAGCTGGGAGAGCGTGTGGGCACTTTAAGTTCGTAAATATCTTGTTTTTAAGCAGACAGTACTTGGAATGAGGTCGTCCTAATATACTGTATTGCAAGCAGATCTTTTTTCCCCACTGCATAAATATTTTATACTTGCGCAATCATCATGACCTACTTACGGTGGCCTTCCCTAGGAATGAGTCTTGCACTCAGAATAGTACTAAAATTTCACTTTCCACCCTAAGTCCCGTTTAGTCGAAGCTCTATTTTAGTACCATAAGTATATGGTACTACAATAGTAGTATACATGAGTAGTATACATGAATGATTTTTTAATGTCGAAGTCTTCAAGTCTTGCAACACAAGTGAAAAAGCTCTCTGCAAAACTGAAGGTATCCTTTGGTCTCGTGTTTTATGACTTCGTTTCTCCTCAAGATGTCAGATTTCATTCGAGACGGAGACCCCTCATGCCAAAAATCGACTTGCATGCTTGAGATAATACACATCTGCTACCAACTGCTACTCACTACCATCAGTTAATCCAACTGCTACAGAATCACTTTTTTTCCTTCCAGACGGGTCGATGGCTAGAGAGGCAAGCAGGGCTAAAAATAGGTCGAACGATGTGTAATACTACAGGTACCAACGTACGAGCAGAAGGTAAAGATTCCCTTACCCAGGTTTTTCAGGGAATTCCATGCCTCCCTCCGGATAAAGGTGATCAGGATGTTTTCTGACAAGAGCCCTCTCTCCAGGGGCCCAGCTTTCCTTTGCAGGGAATTGCATCTCCCCCTCAGGTTTCAAGTGATCCGGATGTCTAACAGCGGGTGCCCTCTCTCCTGGTGCGTACCTACGGAAAGGGAACACAACAATCCAATCGTACGTGCGGACGACTCGAGGGCAAGAGCGCCTACTCCGGTTCGACTTTTATTACTATTTGAATTAATGTTTCCATATTGGCGAATCTGGACACCACAAATGAAATTTCAATAAATATTATCCTACCCGAGCTTTTGAGGGAACTCAATGCCTCCCTCGGGATAAAGGTGATCGGGATGTCTCTTGATAGGAGCCCTTTCCCCTGGCGCCCAGCCTTCCTTCTCAGGGAATTGCATATCTCCCTCAGGCTTCAGGTGATCGGGATGTCGCACCACGGGTGCCTTTTCTCCTGGCGCATACCTTTGGGGGAAAACCGTCGTAGCGCAATATAATAATTTTTCAGTCACACGCCGTCTCGCAATCAGGATTCATTTCATCCTTCTGTTCGGACCATGTCTGCGATGCAAACTGAAAGATGCTTCCAAATGCTTGTAGCTAATCCTCAAATGTTTACGAGGAAACAAGTCACTCTCCAATATTTTCTGTTCATTCCTTTAATATCAGGCAAGAGCTGTCAATCTAAAAGATACCATGGATGCGGATTTTTGTAACGGACCTGTGCGAAATCCTTTTATTTTTTTTTGGACTGACGTTTTGAATTTCGATCCCATGAGATCTCTTCCTGGACAAATTTCGAATTTGATGACCTGGCGAAAGAAGAACCACATCTCAGTCAATCATTTTTCTCATCTCCTTTCCACTTCACGCCCACTTCGCACCCCTTCTTCTGAGAGACCTCATAAACGAATAGCTCACGCTTGAATAAATTCTTGACTCTAATGGCAGTCCTGCCAGCCATGATGTGACTAAGGCGCGGTTATGTGATCGTGGGATCGAGATATGCTAGTTGATCAAACCTCTCCCTTTTTCTTTATATCGTTATACGACTTCAAAGGAAGGCAGCAGACGGTTATCTTACCCAGGCTTTTGAGGGAATTCCATGCCACCTTCGGGATAAAGGTGATCAGGGTGTCTCTTGATCGGAGCCCTTTCCCCTGGCGCCCAGCTCTCCTTGGCAGGAAATTCCATGTCTCCCTCAGGCTTCAGGTGATCAGGATGTTTCACCACGGATGACCTTTCCCCTGGCGCATACCTAAGAGAAACAAGTATCACCATGCAATAATAAAAGTTCGATGACTTCGAGTACAAAAGAGCCGCCAGACGATTTCGGGTAGAATGAATCTTCGTAATGTTTGCAGCTGACGTCAAAAGCAACGCGGAGAGTAAACATTTTTCCATTATACCAACATACTCGATTTATCAAAAGGCGTTTAATTCCCAAGTGATACTAGTACACTCGGCAAACAAGATGTTCCCAGCCTTGCTGGAAACCCTAAATTCCTGCGTAACCTATCAAAATTGGCTGTTTCAAAGTGGTCCCGCAAGTGGTGCAAAAAATATATATTTCTGCACTTAAAGCTTCAGAATTATTGCTGTTGCTTCTTATTCTAATATTTTATTGATCGGAATGTAGCATATCTGCTACACCATGTATGGGTTATCTAAAGAACGCCTTTGCACGCTAATGCTATTCTTAACAACGAGGTGAATTGGGTCTTCGCCAACGTCTTTCGCGAGTCTCCCAACTACGAATCGGATGGGAGTCTGATACATAAGAAGATAAGACCTATTCTAATAGAGACCTTGGAATTTACCTACCCAGGTTTTGCAGGAAATGCCATCTCTCCTTCAGGATAAAGGTGATCGGGATGCTTCTTAATGGGAACCCTTTCCCCTGGTGCCCAGCTTTCCTTCTCAGGGAATTGCATTTCCCCCTCAGGTTTCAGGTGATCCGGATGTCTCGTCGCGGGTGCCCTCTCTCCTGGTGCGTACCTGAAACACGACCCACACGAGAAGAATATGAAGACGGGTCTTTCTGAGCGCTTCAATTTTTGCACACTTTACTGCATTAATCCTGCCATACCCAGGCTTTTCGGGGAATTCCATGCCTCCCTCGGGATAGAGATGATCAGGGTGCCTCCTGACAGGAACTCTTTCACCAGGCGACCAGTTTTCTTTTTCAGGGAATTGGATATTTCCTTCGGGTTTCAAATGATCAGCGTGTTTGACCACGGGCGCCCTCTCTCCTGGTGCATACCTGTCGGCAGAGATATCTTTAGAGGTTCTCGCATGGGACTCTTTCCAACATCTTTCTTTCCAAGGGACTCTCCCAAGTGCCCCTTGTCAGTTCATCTTATAATGGTGCATTTACAGCATGTCAAACATTGAGGGACTCCTGCCACGAGCGGTTTTACCTGCAGCCATGTCCAGCGCTTTCTGTTCTCGGTAGGGGCTAATTCTCAGAGCAAATACTGATTGAAACATTCCCTACCGGTATTTGCCTTCCATGTGGAGTACTTGCACTGAAGCCATGCTCCCAAATTCTTACAGTACAGGAGACTGGATTTTACAGAATAACCCATAAAATTACGGTTCATGCAAGCAACAGTACATTTCAATGTGTCTGGATGACCTGGGCTCCTCTTCTGTTTCCTTTTATACATTACGAATCTTAGAGAAAAGAAATGACCCTGAAGCCGCTGTTAATGAGGTGAGGTAACTCTTTTGAAGGGTGGAGGAGGAAAGGCCTTGCTGTAGAATAAAAACGGTCGCATTCCTTCCGATTGCGTCACTTGATTAAGTACTCCAGGAGTAGTAGGGTCATCAGGTTTCCTGCTGTGAATTTATTTTAATAGATAGTCAAATCTGTGTCATAAAGTAAAACCCCATGCTCAAATTTCAAAATTGTCGACTCGCGATGCAGAAGGCAGACTGGGGGCATTTTTTTAATTTTGAGTTTTTAAATTCCGCAAACTTTGACATATGTTTTGGCTCTGTCGCGGTCAGGTATGGTACTCAGAATACTTCTCTTCAAAATATAATGACAATCGAGTGGAACAAGGGCCACCCCTTCCAAATCAGGTCTGACGACGCCATCTCAAGCGTATATGACGTCATATCAGCCGGATATATGCTGTCATTATGGCCTACTCAGGGTCAATGACCGGCACTGCGGGCAGGATTGTGCAAGATATGGAATGAACAAGGCAATGTACTTGGAATCAGACTTTTTTTCTAGTAGCATTATAGTATTTTGATCTTTAGGGACAAAAATATCAGCGATGATGTAAGAAATAGCTAGCTACGCTTCCGGAAGCCGGAGAGGCAGAAGTGAAGAAGAATTAGAAGTTTATTGCCAACAGTTTATGAGGGAGAGACACGTCCCAAAACCGTTAGAAGATGGGTAGGAACTGTTCCTAAATAAGCAACTAGCACAGCACCATCGGTCGGTGATTTCTAGGAAATAAGCTTCAAATACCTGTATATGGATAATAGAGATTTCACTCTAGCATCTTGGAAAGGGAGAAACGCCCTCATATGCCTCTGAATTAAGACTCACTATCGACAAGTAACGGACTTCGGTGCATTGCGGTCATGATTCAGAGATAGATGAGGATGTATCCACTTCATTAAGGGAGGAGGAGAGCTGAAGTGGATTCTCTGGGGCAGCGGTTCCCAGACTTCTCTGAATCGCGACCCACTCGCTGACGCACAAAAAATTTCGCGACCCACCGGAGTCAAGAACGAAGTACTGTATCTTCAAAGTAATCATGACGTGAGGAAAACCGATTGACCTTTTCTGCAGGGCATGTTTTATCCCGAGCGGTTGCGGATATGATTTTTTTATACCGGGAAGGAGTACCCGACCTACCTTGATGCCTCTTGCGACTCACCAGTGGGTTGCGACCCACAGTTTGGGAACCGCTGCTCTAGGGAGGTGGTTGTCAACCGGTTTGCCGCGGCACACTGAAAGGCTTAGGTGTGCCGCTAAAAAAAAATTAGGTTGAGAACCAATGCTCTAGGGTACAGATAAGGTCGAGTTATATTTTCTGGCACAGATGAAGAGTCTGGTTGCTTATATTCAAACTGCAACCTGGTTTCACAGTTCCGAGATCCGTCCTTCACCTGGAATTTCGTGTATAATGGCAGAACTATATCCTTTCCCTTCCAACATTGCTCGTCGGACACGATGCTAATATTCAATTATGCAAAAAAGATTAGCCTTTTACGACTGGAAGAGAGAGGAGGGAAATTAGGAGCTATAAAGGGCAGACATCTTGCACTCGAGCCTCGAACCCGTTAATGGGCAACGACCGAAGAAGTATGTAAATAGAAAGGAGAAGAAAGGATTCAAGTGTCTCTTCCCCACTCCCATCACCCCCTCAAATAGTCTGGTGGCTTTCTGACCTTGAGGCCGCCATAACGGAAAATGTCCATCATTGGTAAGCTAAAGAAAGATGGCTTTCTAATTATATGCAATGTACTGTCGTCATAGAATAAGATGCAACCCGGGGGAAGATATCAGAAGAACATATCAGGGCGACGATGCCTAGGCAACGGGGAGTTCGTTCTCGGGAACGATCATTATCCTGGGTCGATTAATCGGCGTCCATGATAAAGCGTCATCACAAATGCTAATACGTACTCAGGCTTTTCTGGGAACTCCATTCGTCCTTCAGGATAGAGGTGATCTGGGTGTCTCTTGATGGGAGCCCTGTCACCCGGCGACCAAGTTCCCTTATCGGGGAACTGCATGTCACCCTCTGGCCTAAGGTGATCCGGGTGACGCACCACTGTTGCCCGCTCTCCGGGGGAATATCTGTTGGGGGGGGGGGAGACATGGGTGGCGTATAATAATAATAAAAATATCGTGTGACATAAATCAAAACGCTTAACGTTTGTTACTATGAAACTTCATTAATTTTTAGAGGGAAACGCTGCACCCCCATGCTATGAAGAAGATAATGTCAACATAAAATCCTTGGAGGGAAGACATTGCATTAGGCATAGCGCAATTACCCTGAAAACCCTACCCCCCTTTTCCTCTCAAAATCCAATAATTGTTCAGCGGATCACTTTACACATTCTGAAAATTACTTTAATTATCCCACGTGGAGTGATTGTTTTTGCTAAGAAGCATACAACACCAAACATTTTTAGACATTTCCTCTTTCAGAACATTTTAGAATTGCATAGAATCGATTTGGGAAGATAATTAGCATACCCGGGTTTCTCTGGAAATTCCATGCTTCCTTCAGGGTACAAATGATCTTGGTGTTTCTTGATAGCAACCCTTTCTCCTGGAGCCCAATCCTCCTTCTTAGGGAACTGCATATGCCCCTCGGACTTCAGGTGATCGGGATGCTTCACCATGGGTGCCCTGTCTCCTGGCTTGTATGATTCCTTCTGAGGATATTCGATTTCTCCAGCCATTCGAAGGTTGTCTTCCCTTTTCTTCATCTCCCATCTTTCTCCTTTCGATTCTTTATATGCCTCTTGATTAACAGTTTCAAAGGACATTTCTCCTTCACTCTTCAGTTGATCCTTATGAGTAACATTCTCCCAGCGATCTCCCTTTTCAAACTGTTTGTAGTCCTGCTTCGAGGATGATTCTCCATGGAATTCCCCCTCGAGATGTAAATTTTCCCTATTGACACGTTTTTCCCACCGTTCTCCCTTCTCATGTCTTACATACGCTTCCTTAGATGACGATTCTCCTACGAATTCCCCTTCTAGCTTAAGCTGATCCTCTTTCCTTGTCGTTTCCCAGCGTTCACCTTTCACGGCGAGGTAGTCCTCTTTCATCGACGTTTTACCTTCGAACGAGCCTTCCATACTGAGATGATCAAGAACACGGTTTATGTCATACCGCTCACCCTTGCCTTTCAATTTGAACTCCTCACGTGATACAGACGAGAACTCCATTCCACCCTCTGGTTTCAGATGATCAGGATGTCTCACCATTGGTGCTCTTTCTCCAGGAGAATAGCCAGGTTTGTCAGGAAATTGCATTTCACCTTCTGGCTTCAGGTGATCTGGGTGTTTCTGAATGGGAGCCCTGTCACCTGGAGACCAGCCTTCTTTTGCAGGGAACTGCATGTCACCTTCTGGCTTCAGGTGATCTGGGTGTTTCTTGATGGGAGCCCTATCACCTGGAGAATACCCAGGTTTATCGGGAAACTGCATGTCACCTTCTGGCTTCAGGTGATCTGGGTGTTTCTTAATGGGAGCCCTGTCACCTGGAGACCAGCCTTCTTTTGCAGGGAACTGCATGTCACCTTCTGGCTTCAGGTGATCTGGGTGCTTCTTAATGGGAGCCCTGTCACCTGGAGACCAGCCTTCTTTTGCAGGGAACTGCATGTCACCTTCTGGCTTCAAGTGATCTGGGTGCTTCGTAATAGGCGCCCTTTCTCCAGGAGAATAACCAGGTTTATCAGGGAACTGCATATCACCTTCTGGCTTCAAGTGGTCTTGGTGTCTCACCACTGTCGCTCTCTCTCCTGGAGCGTAACTTGGCTTATCTGGAAATTGCATGTCACCTTCTAGCTTTAGATGATCCGGGTGTTTCGTAATTTGAGTTCTATCACTTTGAAGAATCACTGTCTTCTCTGTCCTGAAGGCACTTTTTTCTTCAGCTTCTGTTTCTCTCTGAGACTTCACTCCATATTTCTCGCGGATTTCTTCATCTTCTCTCGATATATGATCCATTTTAAGATGGTCTTCGGTGTGAGTGACCCTTTCTTTCTCAACCATTTTTGCTGTGTAATCATGCCGTGTTGTCGACTCCAGCTCTGCCTTATCGTCAAATAGTATTTGACCCTTCAAGTTTTTTCTGTGTTCCAAAGACTTCCTCCTTTTTTCTCGGAGGTCCTGCTCGTCAATTTTAAGGGTTTCTTCCTTTCTGTCGACCGTCGTGATAGCGTCCTGGTCGTCCTTCCTAGAAGATTTTGCCTCAATAGCAACTGAATGGACCGATCCCGTGACTTTCCCATCGAAACCTTTTTCCAGCTTTGTGGAAGACTGCATCTCTTTCCTCTGTATATCACTTGTTGTGGAGGTCTCCGTATCTGTAGAATTGAAAGGGAATGCATTTGATAATTTGTGTAGCTTCAACTAGTGAAACATGATAAGCTTCTCAGGTTTTCCATATCCTCAAATATATACTGTATATTTATCAGCAGAGCAACTTTTCACGAATATCCTGTGTTTAGTACCTAATCATTCATAGGGCTTCAGGGCCATCGTCATTGCATTATTCTTTTGGCATCTGACTATTACTCCAACCATTGTTCATCAGATCCCCTTTCATGATATTTACAAAAATGCCATTTTCGAGTCAAGAACAGATATTGTGAATACGTCCACGGCATCTACATTTTATGAGTTCAACATAACCACCCGTGCACGCTTGATACATCTACTGGAGAGTGGAACGTATCAGCCACTGCTTTTTTTAATTGGTATACGTTTATTGCAAAGAATACGTATGCTTGTATCTGTAACTGACGTCATGCCATGCCTCAGAAAATGTGTCGATAGCGCCGATGAGGCTATATGAGGAACCTTAATATGATCGTCCTGATTCGTTCGCATACTTGTAATATCTACTCTTTATTTTTATCAAGTATTCTTGCCTTGCAAAATACTGCATTGAACAGTGCAGCACTTGTATTATCAGTTTTCTTTTAACTTGTCTCCTCAATTTTCAAATGAAATAAATATATTGTGGGAGTTGAATACCACACACTTTGAGCAACATTCTGCAAAGAAACACAGCTATATCGACACGACGCACTCCAGTACTTCAAGTTATCTCTTGAATAGGGAAAATATATTTGCATACGAACCGGTAAGCTTGCCATCTTGTATCTTGTACACGGCACTCCTCGTGACCCTGTGAGAAGAAAAACACATTTCGTCAAATTTGTAGAAACCAACCTATCTCAGCATGAGGAACTGCGAAAACGGAATCTAATATGAACCCGACAGTGCACAAAATGGAGTTCGCTATTTTTACAAGCATCACGTTATACTAAATTTCCTCAGAACCTAAATGTCTGTAACTTTCGTTCTGTATGTCAGACGGAATGCAACAAACTTTCTTCCATGGAATTTAGAATATGATGTTATACATACAGAGGGTTCGATCAAATTTCACGCTGACCCACTGCAAGAATTTCCGCACAATTTGAATGGTGGAAATCTCTCCAGCTAGAAAATCATAAAATTCCCTCCTTGCAAAATTTTAAGGAAATACACGGTGATTCAAAAAAATTGTGCCAAATAATTTTCGCTAATTATGACAGTATATTTTATCAGATCAACTTAATTTTTTAAACACTGCATGTAGATAGAAGAAAGAAGGTATGTGCCAAATTTTATTAAAATTGACTCATGTTCTATGCCATTACAAACTTGACATGTAAAAAAGTGTGCCGTACAAGCTCCAAAAAGGGCCAATTAGTTTATTATAATTATCGGAATGTTATTAAATTTCATCCGATCGGCCCAATATTTCACAAACTACATGTGGATAGATGGAAAAAGGCTTTTATAAATTTTGAACGATATTGACCGAATTTATCACGTGGTACATCGTTTAAAACTTGAAGGCTGAGAAAATGCACCGGACATACCCGCTGAAGCGTTCGTCTCAGCTGTGCAGCAAGCGAGTGTCTGCGTGCCATCTAGAACGGCAAAGGAGGCTAGCTTCACTGGCTGAGGTGAACTCATCAACGGGCATGTCCGGTGCATTTTCTCAGCCTTCAAGTTTTAAACGGCGTACCACGTGATAAATTCAGTCAATATTGGCCAAAATTTGCAAAAGCCATTTTTCATCTATTCACATGCAGTTTGTGAAATATTGGGCCGATCGAATGAAATTTATTAACATTCCGATAATAAAAAACGAATTGGCACGGGTTTTTTGAGCTTGTACGGCACACTTTTTTACTTGTCAAGTTTGAAATGGCATAGAACACGATACAGTTGGTCAATTTTCTTAAAATTTGGCACATGCCTTCTCTCTTCTATCTACATGCAACGTTTAAAAAATTAAGTTGATCTGATAAAATTTACTGTCATTAATAGCGAAAATGACTTTGCAGTCTTTTTATAAACACTGTAAAATTTCCTGTACACAACCCATATCGAAGAAGGAGTCGAAAGCATTCCCATCCCCTAACAGCAGCAGCACAGAACCCTCTCGAAGTAATGAAGAACTACTGGAGTAGTCCTGCAGTTACATTGACATGTTCCTCTCCGTTCAAAAGTAAATTCAAATTTCATCACTCTATAATGACAGGAGCAAAAGTCATTTTTAACTTCATGGTCACCCAGTGTATATTCCAAAGTTGCACGTTAAAATTGATAACCCATAGAAATTTCCTCGTCGATGTCTTCGGAAGGCGGACAGAACTAGATTCAGCCGACCGTGAAGTCTTCCTTCCCTTCATAGACTTAATTCGAAAAAAGAAAATCTTTAAAATGGCAAGCGCTTTCTTCCAAAATACCTAAATCCATGGGATCACTTTGATCGTTGATCCTTGATAGCTAAATATTTTCATGCTTCGCCCATCGGGAAAGTACATTCCCCGCTCCCACCAAAATGTTTACCCTCACATAAATCTTACTTAACTTCGGTGAGGATTTCTCGATATGAATCTTCACTACTCCAGACACAAATGTCTTATTTTGGAAATGTAGCATGAAAGACTTCGCGTATTTTCGTGACCCCCGTAGCCTATGAGAGCCGGGCATCGAGGAGACTTCCATTAACCCCATGAAAGAATTCAGATCATAGCTGGAACGACAAGGTGAAATTTACAGCGAGACGTAACAAAGGCGAAACGTGAAAGCATGATTGGGAAGTACACGGTTGAACTATGCCTCATTTCCCCGTCACAGTCAGCGACTCCGCATAGGCATTCATGGAGTCCTAAATTGCGGGAAAATTGACATCCATCCCGTGTCAACAAAAGTCTGTCGTCATGCCGTTTCCGGTTGGCATATTTTCGGGGGGCCTACCGTAAATGTCCTTGGAATATTTTTTCCTCTCATTCGATTTGAATGATACAGCGACTCGCCCAAGACAAGGAAACAGCGGCTCGTTTACAATGTAATTAGCCCGAGCGGCACGATTAACTCCGTGCTCGTAAGTAAGGTTTGCATGCACAAGCACGTCTTAGATGAACGAGGGACCTTTCCTAAAATCACCGGTTCGAATGCTGAATGGCTGTCGCGATTCAATGCCCTTGAGTAGCTTCTCGAATTTCTTCTTCAGAGACTTGAAGGCCATAATTAACCTTAGTCATGTTGATGGATTGGGTTAAGCCCAGGTTATCCTCTCTCTTTCCTGCTAGGAAAGAAAAGCACTTTGTGATTTTCATGGGGCTGATACGGGGCAGCAAATGCAAATTAGCCGAAGTTAGCCCTTGCCATAATCCACTTTACCTCCCATAATCCGAGGCCAGGCTTGTGCCTCAGCGCGAATAATTGGCGAATGAGCAGGACGTATTATGGGTTCTCACAAAGCGAGAAATGTAAACATGGGAATGTGGCCTGGGAAACGCAGATGAATGAGACAGATAAAGCATGGGGTCAAAGCACGAACACTCCCTGTTTGTCGTTGCCGGTGTCGTCAGGGCAACGAGGAAACATCGCGTGCGTTAACATATTTCTCTAGGCTCAAGGTTAGGTTGAGATGGAACGCGGCAATTAAAGGACTCGCTCCTCCCGCTCGGCGCAACCCTTTCCCCTCTTTCTTATCTATATGATCTTGGTGAACGTAGTCACATGGGCTACTGAAAATATCAATCATAATGAATTTGGTAGATATGTGTCGGAATAATCATGTCACGAGTGCAAAGAGAAAGGAATGAAATCGCGAAAAGTATATTTACATTTACAGGGAGAAGAAAATTTAATCTGAAAAGCCAACGCGAACTTGAGCTAAGACATGAAGACTTTAATTAAAAATTCAATAAACCCAAGAATTATGGAACGGGGAAGAGACAAGTTGTGCCATAGGAATTGTGATTTGTGTAGGCCGAGCTCTCGCAGAGCTGGAAGTAGCAGGTACGTGACAAAGACGGCTCCTTCTACGCATGCATTCCACGTGGAACACATTAGAAAAAGCAAAAAAAATCCCCAGCCCCAGTACCACGTTTGGATGATCTTATAGCAGTTGCCCTTACCTGGCTCGCACATGAACTTGTTTGGTGAAGGTGAGCGCGGAATAAGACTCCAACATATTACCCTTCACACGGTTCCACTATAGACCCTGGACTGAGACGTGGAGACTCCCCTCCCCCCCTCGTGCTCTTCCGTTACACAATACCCCCAAAAGGCAAGAAAGACCCGATATGTGATCGGAACGAGGGTTAAGGTGCGCCTTTCCATCTCAATCTCCATCTTTCGCCTTCCGTCGTCCGTCCAGTCCATATTTGGTAGGGTTACGTATTACAATGAGATGGAAACGAGGCGGAGAGTTGGCATGTGTGCGACCGACATGAGTCAGAGGCGGACCACGCCGGCTCGACTGCCAGGGGGAACGCAAACAGAAGGCGACCCTTCAGTGAAAGTGGCTCGGCGGGCGTTCGAGATACTCTCTCCTCGCGCTCCAAGGCCGAATTTGCATCCATGGAGGTGTAGATGCGAAAACGTCGGGGTCGATCACGCGTGCACGGAATAATTACGGTAGGGTAGCCATATACGACCCCGTGATGAGGTGCTGCAGGTGAATCGATCGACTCTGGCCAAGTCATCCATCGATCACGAAACAGAAGTTCCTCGTTCCGTGTGATCCACGAGTATATACCCTATACCCCCTTAAATGGGGTCTCGTCCCCCTCGCATGCACATCTTCCCTGCATTCGCTCCTCGACGGGGAACGCCCTGCGATCTTTCCTTTCGGTGCATTCAATCGCCCGAGGGACTGGCTGGGGCCGCCTTCGAATCCTGAGTCATTCGAAGGCGGAGCACATGGTTCCCCCGTAAACAATGGAGCCGCTACCACTCGAAGACCCCTCGTGATGGAATGGTCTTTCCGTTCTGCTTGGCATGAATATGTCAGCATTTGCATGCCTACAGGCGAATAAGTTTTGCAGGTGACCTACATAGCTCCCCTCCTGATAAGGAGGGGTTCTTCTGATTTTTTAATCCATGACAAGACCAGAGGAAGGAATACTTCCGGGGGTACTTAACATGGATGTATCCAGGATTGTAAGGAATTGAAAAGAATAACATATATTCTAGGTGAAAGCACAACAGAAATGAAGATTTTGAAAGGAGCAGCTGTGTTTCTCAGCATGAGTCACTCGGACGCACACCCAGTCTGCACCCTGCATGAAGACAATCGCCATTCATGCATGAGAAAGTATTGCGGCTGAGTGTGCATGCAGGTATTTTTACACGGTATAAAACGTCATACTTGAGATTGAAATGATAACCGGCTCGAGAAGTCGTTTCGTCGCTGAATGCCTGCAGGGGATATTTACCTCATGGCATTTCTCTTCGGCGTTACTTGCACTGCGGGAGGGATTGGGGAGAGTGAGATCTAATCATGAACGCGAGACACCCTCTCCTTTCATAAAATATGAGGCAAATCTTGAGCGATGTGAGGAGATTGTGGACTCTGAGCAATCGAACCCAAGCAGCTGTAATGAAGCTTCCTCGTTCACTTTTCCCCAATCATCAAAGTGCTCGTGTCTCACTAATGACAGAACCTGTTAACGAGTATGGAGCAAACAAGTTCTCTAATCCCGGTCTGTTCCCTATCGATCTGAAGCCCCATGCATCGAATAATTTCAAGCAATTAAAAAATGGAATGCCCTAAACTCCTAACAAAAGGGGTTATATATTTATTTCGGCATCTGCACGGCGGGAATACATGTTCAATTCTCAACCGTCGCTTTTCTGCACTAGATTCACTTCTTCCATATTCTACCACAACTGCCACTTTTAATCAATAGGATGGCAGAGGCTACATCTGATGACTATGGGATAAAAATTCCATTCAAAATCTCCACTCAGCAGCATTTAATTTTAAATACGCGTGGCAGCAATACGTGATGCAATCCCGGAGGGATTCTTAGGCTGCAGTTCCTTTACCTGATTGGAGGCTGATCAGCGCAAAGGACTAAGTCGATGAGCCAAAATGTTAAAACTTGGGCCTAAACTTCGCGAAGCAACATGGATTCGAATTTCGCTCTTATTGGGACGCAATGCGTACTCGAACTTTTTTCCTACAGGGGGAAAATGACCTCGACAGCCTTATTCAGTGTTTCTGACCTTTTCAGAAATTGATGGCAGAGATCGCGCGATCGACAGGTACCGATCAGAATCAGGTTCTTTGGAAAGACTCTGAACATGTCTCGTCCACCCTGGATTCCCCAAATCCGGGGGAAGGAGGAAATGAGGGAGGGACCCGACGAAAATAAGAGAGGATGGAGGACTCTTCAGAGATGGAAGGAAACTGGGCGGGCACTCGCAAGGCAGGCAAGCATTCGGCCAAGGATCATGCCAGTCGAGCCTCCAGTAGGAGGTTCGACTTTCGTTCTCATTTTAAGTTTCAACGTGGCTCTATCATTGCACATTTCCAAACGAAACCTCTATATCGTCACATTCAGTCATAGAGTAACATTGCCGAATTTTGTCCAGCAGCTTCGCACGGTTTTGGAGATATTTTGGAGAGGCAAACCCTCCAACCGACTTTGTCAATGTTTCTTGCTTGACCCTGTCACGTATACCTTTTAACCCTTTAACGCATCCTGTGGCATCTACGCTACACACCGAATTCATATTTAATAGCACAATGCTTTTGAGCCCTATCGTCAAACTTCCTGTAGAGTCATTTCTGTTACTCTCCCTTATAATTGAATTCTTGGCATTAGTTTAGCATTTCCTTACCCCTAATTTTATTAATTAATTTGAATACGTTTTTCTTTTAATAGAAACATCATGCAATGAAGGGTTACATGAAACTCTTGTTAATTTCATTACAATAACCATTCCGCTCTGCCAAATTTCATCCCTCACCTCTGAGCAGTTTTCGAAAATTTTTGGAAGATCCATCCATAAATTCTTGCAACTAAAAGCGTGAAACCAAAACGTCGCCTGGACGCGGCTCATGAAAAGGCTTCCTATTCTTATGTCCGGGAAAATTCCTCATGCTCCGTTCCCTGTTTACGCAGATTTTCTCAACCATTTTCGCATGCATTGGGCATCAAACGAATAAAATGTTTACTGCTGAGACAATGATTGATAGACACCCCAAGGAGAACGTCATACAATCCTAAAATGGCACCCTCTGCGATGCGTCATACCGAAAGAAGACTCTAGACAGATGAGTCCACACGTTTGGGTGATGACAAGACCGATCCTTACGTCATTTCCCTTCTCGGATCGATGGTCGCAAAAGGGTAGATCGTAAGAAAAGTGACGGCGCCGACGAAGGTCGCTTCACGCCAACGTTGCGTCATCGGGACGGCCGGAATCGAGATGCCGGTCTCGTCCGTGCCAGTCCCCCCGCCTGGCCTTGTTTGTTCTCTCATACCGGTTCCTCCGGCGATAAGCCGCCTCCCGTCTTCCTTACAAGGTTGGGTATTTTCATCCGCGCACTTTCGCGATGGCGTTTCCAATTTTCTTCATCCCTTTTATCGCTCAAGCATTCATATGAGTCACGAAACGCATCAGAAGTCCCAGATGGCATGGAAGTCAAGTGATTAAAATTCTAAGCAAAAAATCTCGGTGGGTGAGAGAGAGAAACGAAACCACAGTATCATGATTAAAAATAACATCGTGAATGAATATTGGTATTTCAGAATAATTATCGGGCTTTGGGCGATTTTTGCTCCCCTCTGATATGAGTGAGTTCTAGCACGAACCATGGAAACAGTCCCAATCCAGACCGATTTTGGTTTGGAGGAAAGGAGGGAACCCATTCGCATTCCAAAAGATATTGTGGATTTCCACTGGACATTTTTTAGAATTGAACTTCCACTTTGTGCGGGTTGCCTTTGGAGAATGGCATTTTCAACTTTTTTTTTTAATTAAATTAATATAGAAAAAGAATAGGGTGTTTTCCAGGTATTCTCTTAGTCCTTGGATCACGACGATCAAAGTAAACCTACGCTATTTAACCACCATATTTTTTTAATAATTAGATTCCGGGATGAAAGTCTTGCATTAGTGAAATGGGCATGTTCCTTCTGGAATTCTTTGACAAAAAAAAAAGAAACTCAAACTTTCTGATCGTGGTCCCAAAAGAGGTCACGCATCGAACATTCTGCGAGTAAGAAGACTTAAATGGCTTAAAAACCAAAAAATTAGCAACTAAAGGGTGAACGGTACGACAGAATCAATAGAGGCGATGAATGAAGCCTAAATTATTTGTATGGTGTCTATTCGGGGCATCGATTCAGCCCAAACAAGTAATTTAGGCTATCTGCCTAAATCTTGCAGGAGGAAACAAGTGTAAGGGAATGAAAAATAAGGAAATTAAAAATAAGGAAATTAAAAATAAGGAAATAAAAAAAAAATAAGGAAACACAGGATACAAACCTCTCGGCACTGGAGGCGCGATGGGTAAAGCGTTCCTCCCGATAGGCCGAGGAGACGTGGGCTTCACTGGATGCAGTGAGCGTCGCCCCCGACTCCTCGACCTGCGACGAGGACGAGGATTTCGACTTTGCCGAATCCTCGGCGGTTCTTGTCTCTTGTGTCGTTCGTTCCATCCTGGGATGGCGAAAGGAGGGAGGAATCGAGGATCAAATCATACGAAACTAAAGAGCGAACTTGAAAACAGATGAACAAAATGAGAACAGTGACTGTAGTTGGCAGTCGTAAGGGTTTCCGCAAACAAGAATAATGCGAATACACCAGGGCCCAGCCTCAGAACCTAAATATGATTATTTCCCAACATCCCAAAGGCAGGCCAACTTTTTTAACGTGTGTACTGATTAACCGTGGTCCTAGACTGAACTATACATTCCTTGATACACGACGGAATGGTCCTCCCCCCCCCCCCATCCTTTCGTCCAGTGACGTCGGGCAACCATCTCTAAATGGTAAATTTCTAAACCATTTCTCTGCTTGCAAATTTTTCTTGGTAATGTGAGGCGTCGCGCAGGAGACTGTTCTCCATGTCTCCTAATGAATCCGAATTTTGTCTTATCTCGTAAGAACTAGGATGAAGCTTTGAAACCAAGCAGCCATTAGCATCCCTGAGAGGAAGGGGTATATTTTCCTAGAAAATTGAGAATTCTTTCCCTCTAAATATATATAGAAGTATTCCGTTCCTAAAAAAAAAAGGAGATTTGACATTTGAAAGACAGCAACGATTGTCTCATCCCGCTGTTCTCCGATACCCAGCAATCAGTAGCCCTCTAGAAAGCAAACATTGGCTGGAAGTATGAGAAGGTGCAAGACTGAAACGGACTCCCTCATACCTCTCGGCCGAGGATTTGGCTTGGGCGGAGGAGAGGCGCTCCTCCTGCCCCTCCTCCCAGACGGAGTACTTGCCGTGTTGTTCATGCGACTCCGAGACCAGGCACTTCTCATCGCTTTGGGCGAAGTGGGACGTGTTTCCTCGGGGTCCCGGTCGGTGGGGGCATCTGTGTCGCCTGGAGACAAGGCAAGAAAAAGACGAATTGGGAATCGATCGAGCGCTACCGTCGTCATGAAAGAACCATGGAGAGATTCTTTCCATCCGATCGGATCCGTCAAAGCGTAAGTTGGAACCATGAGTCGATATTTCAGGAGAAAGATGATAAAAATAAATTTCAATTTCACATCAGCATGAGCTTCTTTTTTTTATCATTCCCTTCACTGAAAGGTCATGGACGCGGTTTCATCTTACGCTTTCACTATCAGTGGTGAGAACGATAGTCGGTCAAAGTAGGTTCAACTCCAACGATCAATGTCCCAAAAATGGGTGATGCTGAATCATTATCGAGGAATAAATACGGATGAGGAGGGTAGTGTTGTATCAATATCGCGTGTGAGAGCCGATGTTTCAACCGGCAACGATTGCAGTAGCCATATATACAGTTATGTATCATATATAGTATATTATGAGTCCCACTCTGCTACTCCGGGTTAGGGAAGACACGAGTTTTTCCAAGTTTCATGAGTCGATGAGTCCATCCTCGCCGATTCCTTCCGGAACCAATATACCCTTTATCAGAAGAGATACTTCGTTGGCTGCTGCCGCCTCTGTCGACGGAATTGGAGACGGCAACGGTAGAGGAGTAACTGGCGTTGGAGGCCTGCTGCGAGGCAGCCGCATCCCGGAGGAATCGAGCGCTCGCTTCCGCCTCGACCTTGCTCGACCCGACAGGCTTGAAGGGCGATCCCTCGCCGGGACCCGACCTGGATCGCCTCGTCTCGGTTTGACCCACCGAGGCCGCCAGGGAGACGGTAGCCTTGCCCCTGATGCGGTGACTTTGCGAAGAGAGGACCGTCTGGCTCGAGGAGGAATCTCTCATCTCCGAGGCGTTTTTGACGACCGTGGAGACCCCCATGATCCGAGGGATTCTTTCCTTCCGTACCGACATGATCGATGCTTTTTGCGACGAGGACGAGTCACCCGATACAGCACCGAAGGATAACTTGGCCTCGCGCTTCACGGAAACACCGGTCGACTCGCGCCGGGAACTCGACCCCAACTTCATGTCTCCTTTTCCCCCTCTCTCTCTTCTTACAATACGCGGAACGGAAACGAATCGGAACACTCACCCGCAGGTGCAAATCTCGCAAATGCACTTTTCTGGCACCTTCTTCTGCACCATGTCTTCGTGCTGGGGTGGTCAGCGAAACTGAAGACTCGATGAGACGAGGAGGCTGTTCTGAGTCATTCCTCTTCCAGCCTCCACCACCAAATATGGTATAGCAAGGCCCCGATTGCGACAGCCCAATCCTGCTCGACGGCATACGCCTCTGCTATCCAACCTCCACATGGAGGCCCCCAGAGGAAGAATGGCAGGTAGACGGACGGCATGGGGGTGCCCCACTATTGTGGCTAGGGTGTTCTCCCCCTCCCCTCCCCCCTCCATCCGCCCGACTTCGATTCTGTCATGCGCACGGAGCCCTGCACTGCAGTCCCCTTCTCTTCGGAATTTCCCGGAATTCCCCCTCGTCACGATACCGTGAACGGGAACGAAACTGGGACTCACACGCCCTTCCATATGTTCCTATCATGCCATTGATCTCCTCGACTCATTTAACTCATTCGCTTTACGATAGCAGGTAGCTCTGCGACGCCTCCCGAAAAAAAGCGAATAAAAAAATACAACGAATAAGGTCCTAGATGTCAGTCTCGTTCATGCGTCTGAATGACCTCGGGAAGATGTGCACAAAGTCGATGATGAAATAAACCCCAGGAATCAGGGACCAAGAGGACATTGGATGCATGGAGTGATGTCGACAATCATCCCTATTTCATAGCTCAGGGTTGCAGACTCCAACGTGGGAATCAATACGTCTCTCTCCCCCCACCTTCATTCCCTCCCCCGTGCGAGAATGAAAACTTTAAAAGACTATCCCACCAGAATAGTGCCCTGCACACAGGCAGACAGACACGGCAGGTAGGGGGTCACGCGTGCGTGCGTGAGTGCGTGCCCTGCCCACTAAATGCAAACACACTCGTCCGTGCCCTTCCTTCTTCCGACAGCGGGAACCAAACAAATTCATGACGAGGAAATAAAATATAATGGAGTGTACGTTCGCTCTCCCCCATCGCATCGAAAGGCGAGGAGCGAGAGAACATGAATGCAGTGACGTGACGAGGTTTAATGCGCGATGAGTCACGCCTCGGAAAAGGGAATGCTACGAGGGCAGGAAAGCGTACGCGAGCTATTTTTCCCCTTCCAATGTTGCGCATGGCAACCAGAATCGAGCGAGCAGGTGACAACCACGTGCCTATTTGTTTGGGAAATCGATTGCATCAATCCTCATACCGTTAATGATGAGACTGAAACGAGAACACTATCTCTCGGCTGCCCAGGACTGTGCCGGAAGACAACATAAATTTCAGGCATGGGCGGGAATTCTCAGCTGGTTCTTAAAAGCCAATGGGGAGGGATTGAGGGGGAGGGTCGAGGAAGGAAGGGGGGGGGGACACAAGGATGGTCGAATCTAATTGCCTCATACGGGAAAGGAAAACAGGAAGGTCAAAGTGCTCAATTCTCTTTCACGTCGTACAATTTCTTATTGAGCTTCCAAAGCAAGAATTCCACCTTTAAAATACTGTACTATGGAATTCTCGTACGAGCTCAGATACGATGAAAGTTCGACTTCATCGTCGTAATCTGCACATTACAATCAGAAATGATTTAATCGTTTGTATTTCGCAATTCCAGCTCGCCCCCACCCGCCCAGGACGAGGTCGCACTGCACCCGCCAGCGAAGGACGAAACTGAAACGTCTTCCGGTCTTCAAGTCGTGGCAAGGATGCCATACATTCAGTCTCCGAAATTTCAATTGCCTACGCAGTTTCTCCAGTCTTTCAATTCTCTCGGTTTGAAGCTTGATATATTCGGCAGCCAAAGTTCCATTCCATGACAAGTAAGAAACACGGAGAATTTCCGTGCTCTTGGGTGCGTTTGTTTTCCTCGAACTGGCATTACTTTTCCACCGACCCCTCGCTTTTCCAATACAAATACCCAAACTTTACGGACATTGGAAGATCGAATGCCTCTCCTTCATCTCCTGTGGTCGTATTACATCTACGGAAGAGATGTCAGACGGCAAACTGGCCACGCGACCAATCAGGGATTATTAGAACTGGTTTTGAGATTGTAGTGGGCTCCACAGGCACAAGCGTCACCTGGAATGCCAACGAAGTAACTTGAGGAAGCAGCGTCTATCGCTAGATCGCGCTGCTGATTCAAGTAGCAAAGGTCCACCTTGACACCACGTGCGTCGGAGTAACGTTAGAGTAAAATCCGAATCTCGTCCTCAGTTCTCACACTCGCCCCAAAAATGAGCCAGCTTCAACTCCAGACCTGGATTTGTGGGCCGTTGTGTGGACAAATTTTGACGGTCTGCCGCGGACGAAGGCCTAATGAATTAATAGGGAGATAATTGCGCTTCATGCATTTGGAAGAATGGAGCCATCCCGACACCGATGGCATGATTTACCTCCTGAGGTGAGTGCCAATTAAGGTTTGCATGGGCTTTGGGATGTAAAGTCGACACCTCAAGAGGTGACCGGTGGGAGTTGAAAAAATAGAGTTATTCCTCATCTAAGTCTTTCTTACCCTCAATAAGAGGATAACAGAGTGTCACATGTGCATGTTGTATCAGTAAAGAAGGAGGAGTGGAAATGGGTGATGAATGAGTGATAGTAGGCGCAGTCCTGTTTCTTAAGGTGTGTGATGCAGATACTTAGTAAAGTGACTTCGAAGCGATGATCCTAGGCTGCAGTATGGACATTGTACAACATCCACCTCTGATCCATTCACAATTATGAATTCTAACATTGTCCCTAACAGCGTGCATGATTGGTCCCTAACAGCGTGCATGTTTTGTGCATGGCACAAAACGAAGCCTATGTAAACTAGGTGTGCACAAGATGAAGGAATATCAAGCTTTCTTTTGTAGAACTGGACTTCATAAGAAAGGGCAGATCATCCCAGTCTACCACTGTTTTGGAAAAAATCTATACTAACTGAAATTTGTTGTACTTGTATAGGACAGGTCTTGTAGGGATGCTATTAAATGAACTTTGTAAGCTCTTCTAGTCCTTGTTTTTCACCAAGCAACCTTTGTAGTCTAGGCTAAGCTGGAGTTTGTCTCTTAATATCATATGCAACAATATTAGCTTTGCATTATCATGTCTAGG